CCCCCGGCGGCGGCGAGCGCCGGAGCAGCGCGCCCCAACTGCTGGCGAGGCCAGGGTGCCTCCTGGGCTTTGCAGTCGGGCGCGGTGGCGCCTGTGACGAGGCCCCAGGCGTGGAGGCTTGGGCCTCCTCGTGGGAAACAAAGCGCGATCGGGGCTCAGGCTGTGCCCCACGAGGTTCCAGGGCGTCCGAGAGTACCCCCGGGCGCCGAAAGCGACCAGCAGCTTGTGCGAGACCTTCAACGCGTGAGTCCAGATTTTGCGACACATGCTGGAGCAGCATACCATGCAACCCATAGACCAGCCTGTGAGGCGCCAGTGGAGGCGTCGAGGCAGACACGGGAGACAATATGAGACGAATTGTTAAAGTTCTGTGTGCGCTTGGCTGAACCTTGAGCCGAAATGACCACGGACCTCGTTCCTCCTCCTCCTCCTCCTCCTGCCTGTTTCTCTCCTCCTCCTCCTCCTTTTCCGCCTCCTCCTCCTCCTCCTCCTCCTCCTCATTCTCCTCTTTCTCTTCCTCCTCCTCCTCCCTGTTCTTCTTCTCCTCCTCCCCCACGCTCCTCCTCCTGTTTCTCGCCCTCTTCATCCCTCCTATCACCCCTCTCTGATGCATGGCCTGGCCTGCGGCCTGACCCTGATCCAGCCCGACCCGCGCCCACGAGTGCGGGGCACACCCCGACGACCAAGGAACCAAACTGGCTGCCCACAGTCCCGACCGGTCCACGGAGCGGCCACATCAGCGAGTTGATCGAGTCCTGATCGACGAATCGGGGCCTTCCACTCCCTCCTCCCTCAGCTCCTTCTTCCTCGTCCTTCTCAGCGGTTCTCAGAACGCGTGCTGGCGCCAGCGTGTGCCTGGGCACCGAAGCCCACCAGCGCGACGCAGGCAACGTACATGAGAGCCGACGCAGGAGGCGGCGGCGGAGCTGACCGAGGCAACGCGCGCACACACAGAAACACACAGACACAGACACACACAGACACACAGACACACACACACAGACACACACAGAAACAAACACACACACGCACACACACGCACACACAGACATACACACAACACACAACACACACCACACACACGCACACACACACACTCACACAACGCACAACACACACACACACCACACACAATCTGCAACACACAACACGCAACACTCAACACTCACATCACGCACAACACGCAACACGCAACACGCAACACGCAACACACAACACACACAACATACCACACACACATCACACAATACAACAAACACGGACAACACACAACACACAACACACAACACATGCACAACGCACAACACGTAACACACAGCACACACACAACACACATGACACACGCACGACATACAACACACACAATACACACCACACTCACACACAACACACAACACACAACACACACACCACACAACACACACAACATACACAGACACACAACACACAACACGCACAACACACAACACACAACACACGCACAAGACACAACACACATCACACAGCACACAACACACAACGCACAACACACAACACACAACACACACCACACGACACACACAACACACAACACACATAATACACAACACACTCATCACACACCACATACACAACACACAACGCACAACACACAACGCACAACACACAACACACACAACATACAACACACAACACACATCATACAATGCACACAACACACACACACACGCACACCAAACACAACACACACAACGCACAACACATTACACGCAGAGACACACAGAGACGCACCGATACACACAGACACACACGCAGACACACATATACACACAGACATACACAGACACACACAGACACACAGACACACACACAGACACACAGACACACAGACACAGACTTGGACAGAGACACAGACACATACACAATCACAGACATACCCACTCACACACGCTTACACGCACGCACACCCCCTCATACACACACACACACACGTACTCACAAAGACTCACACACACACAGAGGGCTAAAACACGTCCTGAGGATCATCGATCGATGGCTCAGGGCCTTCCGAGGCCCGCGCAGAAGGCGGCTCACGTCGAACCGGGCGGACCCGATGGCGAACAGCCCGGAGGCCACCCTGAGGTGCACCTCCGTGCTCTCGGGGCTGCCGATCAGCAGGTGGGTGAAGACGGCCTGGAAGTGGACGTCCCTCGACCCCTCCGGCGGCGGGGCCGGCGCGCCCGCGTCTCCGCTCGCGGCAGCAGCCCCGCCGCCTCCGCCGGCGGGCTCGCCGGCCGCCTCCTGGATATCGGCGGGGCGCCCTTGGTGCGCAGCCTGCCGCTCGTTGCGTGCCTGGATCTTACCCCCCCCTCTTCCCCCCGCGGCCCCCCCCCCCCCCCCAGGCCAAGGCAGCGCACCAGAGGTCACTCTGGCGGAGGGCCACCTGTCAGGTGCAGCGGATCCTCCACCAGCAGGCGCGCGGCGCGGTACTCCTGGCGGGAGATGCAGCCGTCGTTGTTCGCGTCGAGCGAGTCGAACTCCTGGCCCGCAGGAGGCTCTGATGCGCCGCTACCGTGCCTGCCCAGGGCCACCCAGGGCCTGCGCGCAGAATGGTGCACAGTCGGCCCGTGTCATAGGGAGGCGCGATGAGGATGCAGGGGCCCTGGACGCCCATTTCGAAGCTTTTCGAGCGCGGCGCGGCGAACGAAAGGGGCCAACGATGGACCGAGGAGGCAAGGATGCAAGGGTACACGTCGTTCATTTCTAATCGTGCTCAGTTCTCATTGTGCTCGTATATAATTTTTCCTAGCCCCCTAGTGGCCAGGAAGAGGCCCAGGATAGAACAGTTAGAGATGAAAGGATCTTGGCCCCCCCCCAAGATCAAATAACCTTCGAATAATTAGAGACATGAACAATGGGTACCCTTGGATTTGTTGCCCATCCTTGCTGTGCGGGGTGACTGCGTGGAGCCTCCTGGGCCTCGGCCAGGAGGGCCTGCGCCCTCCCCGGGCACGGGGCGGCCCTGGCGCGGGCATGCCGGCGGTGGTGGCACACCAAGAGGTGCCCATACCGCTCCTCCCCGGACCTCGCCCGGGGTGCGTCCTGGCCAGGCTTTCGAGGCGAGTCCAGCGGTGGCGGCGAGAACCTCCCAGGAGGGCGAGGGAGAGGGGGGAAAACGGGCGAAGGGCAGCGGCATGGGTACCTTTCCCAGACATGCGACGTCCTCATGTTTTCAGGACGGCGTCCCCAGAAGTTCCGACCTTTTCCCCGGGACCGGTGTCTCATCCTGAGCCGTTTCCTGACGGCCCCGAGGCCCGGCGAGGGCCCCCCTCGAGGCCGAACTGGAGCAAAAACCTCCCGCCCACGCGATCGTGCCTGGGCCTCCTTCCTCTGCTTGGATGACCGTGGGGGTTATTAAGTGGATAGGGGGATTACAAGTGGATGCCAAGGTGGGTTATATCTGGCCCAACCTGACTTATAAGCGGGTTACAAGCGCCCCGAATGGCTTAGGGGGTTAGATAACTCCGCTAAGTGGGCGGAGCCCACTTAGCCTGGATCGTTAACCCCCCTAAGCTATTTAAGGCACTCGTAACCCACTGATAAGCCAGGTTGGGCCAGATTTAACCCACCTTAGCATCCACGCGTGACCCCCCTATCCATTTAATGACCCCCACGGTCATCCAAGTGACTGCCGCGGGTCCTCATCCGCAGCGTCGCGGGGAGGCCCGGAAGGCGCCGAGGAGGGCCTGGCGCCCTGTCGGCTCCAGGGCGGCGGCGCGCCGCTGGGCGGCGGGGCCGTGCCCTCGCCCTGGCCGCCCTCGGCCCAGCCCTCGCCGTAGAGGCCGCGGGCGCGCTGCGGCTGGCCTCCCAGGGTGGCCTGGAGGAGGAGGGAGGAGGAGGGAGGAGGGAGGAGGAGGGAGGAGGAGGAGGAGGAGGAGGAGGGAGGAGGAGGAGGGGGGAGGGAGGTGGGAGGAGGGAGGAGGAGGAGGAGGAGGGAGGAGGAGGAGGAGGAGGGAGGAGGGGGGGAGGAGGGAGGAGGGAGGAGGGAGGAGGGAGGAGGGAGGAGGGAGGAGGGAGGAGGGAGGAGGGAGGAGGGAGGAGGGAGGAGGAGGAGGAGGAGGAGGAGGAGGAGGACCAGTGTAAACCCAAGAGGCGTCAACGAAGTTGGAAACAACCCTCCATCCAAGCTCCCTCTTCATAGACCCCTACAACGGTTCATTTTGACTGAAGGAATTGCCTCGTTGGAAGACAACTGGTTGAAGACCCTGAAGCATGAAACATATTGTTCTCGGGATTCCCACGCCACGGATCAACCTGACTGCTGCGTCTTGACGATCTTGGATCGTGCCAGAACGCCATTCCTGGGACTTGAACGCCGCGAATCACCATAACTTGTGCACGCCCACGAGCCTGAATCCTTCCAAAACACCTTGTACGTTGATCATGGGCTTCCGTGGAACTCTTGCAAATTTAGAAAACCGAATGTGCGCGGCGCTCAGGCGAGAACCCCATTTTGGAAAGGAGCCGCCCTCAATCCGTGAAGCTCTTGCAAATCTTTGAAACCAGTGTGCACGGCGCCGGCGCTAAAGCGAGAACCATCTCTTGAAAAGGAGCCGCCTTCAATCCGTGAAGTTGTTGCAAATTTTTAAAACGAGCATGCGCGGGGGCTAAAGCGAGAACCACATTCGAATTTTTAAACCGAATTTGCGCAGCGCTAAGGTGAGAGCCACATTTTGAAAACTACCCGCCATCAACCCGTGAACCTGTTGCAAAACTTTAAGACGAGTGTGCGCGGCGCTGATGCGATAGCCACATGTTGAGAATCACCCGCCCTGGGTTTCTGAAGCTGTTGCCAATCTTTAACCTTCAGAGTCGTACGTGGTGAAGAAATCTCAAGCGAAACGCCCGGCCCTAATAACTTTTCTCGGGGTGCGACAGGGAGAAATTATCTATAAGCAGAAGGAATGGAAGAGGAGAAGGAGGAGGAAAAGGAGGAGGAGGAGGACCAGTGTAAACCCAAAAATCATCAACGATAATGGAGTAAACCCTCCCTCCGAGCTCCCTTTTCATCGGCCCCTACAACGGTTCATCTCTATTGATGGAACTGCCTGGTTGGAAAACATTAGTTTGAAGACCCTGAAGCATGCCAAAACATTGCTCGGGATTCCAAAGCCATGGATCAACCTGACTGTTGCGTCTTGACGATCGCGAATCATGCCAGAAATCCATTCCTGGGATTTCAACACAAAGAACCAACGTAACTGTTGCACCCACATAATCCTGAATCCATCCAAAACACCATTTCTGGTACGCAGATGATGGGAACCCGCGAAACTTTTGCAGATAGTTAAAACGAATGTGCGCGGCGCTAGGGCGAGAGCCACATATTGAAAACGACCCGCCCTTAATCCGTGAAGCTCTGGCAAATTTCTAAAACGAATGTGCGCGGCGTGAAAACGAGAACCACATATTGAAAACGACCCGCCCTCAATCCGTGAAGCTCTGGCAAATTTCTAAAACGAATATGCGCGGCGCGAAAACGGGAGCCACATATTGAAAAGGAGCCGCCCTCAATCCGTGAAGCTCTGGCAAATTTCTAAAACGAATGTGCGCGGCGCGAAGGCGAGAGCCACATATTGAAAAGAAGCCGCCCTCAACCCGTGAAGCCCTTGTATTTTTTAAAACGAGTGCGCGCCGCGCTGAGGCGAGAACCACATATTGAAAACGACTCGCCCTCAATCCGTGAAGTTCTTGCAAGTTTAAAAAACGAATGCGCGCGGCGCTAGGGCGAGAACCACGTATTGAAAACGACCCGCCCTCAATCCGTAAAGCTCTTGCAATTTTTTGAAAAGAATGTGCGCGGCGCGAAGACGAGAGCCACATATTGAAAACGACCCGCCCTCAATCAATAAAGCTCTGGCAAATTTCTAAAACGAATGTGCGCGGCGCGAAGGCGAGAGCCACATTTTGAAAAGGAGCCGCCCTCAATCCGTGAAACCCTTGTATTTTTTTAAACGAGTGCGCGCCGCGCTAAGGCGAGAACCACATATTGAAAACGACTCGCCCTCAATCCGTGAAGCTCTTGCAAATTTAAAAAACGAATGCGCGCGGCGCTAGGGCGAGAACCACGTATTGAAAACGACCCGCCCTCAATCCGTAAAACTCTTGCAATTTTTTGAAAAGAATGTGCGCGGCGCGAAGACGAGAGCCACATATTGAAAACGACCCGCCCTCAATCAATGAAGCTCTGGCAAATTTCTAAAACGAATGTGCGCGGCGCGAAGGCGAGAACCACATGTTGACAAGGAACCGCCCTCAATCCGTGAAGCCTTTGTATACTTTCAAAACGAACGCTCGCCGCGCTAAGGCGAGATCCACATTCTGAAAACGACTCGCCCTCAAGCCGTGAAGCTCTTGCAACTCTTTAAATGAATGTACGCGGAGCTAAGGCGAGAACCACATTTTGAAAACGACCCGCCTTCAATCCGTGAAACCTTTGCAAATTTCTACAACGAATGTGCGCGGCGCGAAGGCGAGAACCACATATTGAAAACGACTCGCCCTCAATCCGTGAAGTTCTGGCAAATTTGTAAAACGAATGTGCGCGGCGCTAAGGTGAGAGCCACATTTTGAGAACCACCCGCTCTCCATTATTGAAACTGTTGCCACTTTTAAAACTTCAGAATCATAAATGGTGAGGAAATCTCAGGCGAAGCGCCCGGCCCGCCCTAAAAACTTGTCTCGGGGTGCGACATGGAGAAATTGTCTATAAGGAGAAGGAATGGAGGATGAGGAGCAGAAGGAGGAGAAGGAGAAGGAGGAGGAGGAGAAGGAGGAGGAAGAGGAAGAAGGGGAGGAGGAGGAGAAGGCCTTGGCGCCCTCGCACTCCACCTCGCACGTGAAGCTGCGGCCCCCGGCGGCCTGGGCCAGGGAGCACCGGTCCACGCCCAGGAAGAGCACCCACGCTGGCTCCGGCTCTGGGTCTACGGGGCGCAAAGGTATACACCACCACCTCCTCCCCCATCCCCTCCCTCTCCCAGGGAAGAGGAGAGGACGATGAGGGTGGAGGAGGGAGGGGGAATCGACGTGGTGGTGGTGTATACTCTTGGGAACCGCAGGGTCGCCCGCGTCGAGCGCTCGGCTCCGGCTCGAGGGCTGCCGCGCGCGCCCGAGCGCCTGGCGCGCGGCCCGCTCGCCGAGCACGAGGGGGGCCCAGCGGGCGCGGAGGCAGGCCGTGCCCGCGAGCCCGCCCGAGAAGAGCTGCAGCTCGTGGCGCTCGCTCGCCGCGAGGTCCTCAAGCGGCACGGCGCGGGCGCCGAGGAGGTCGCCGCCCTCGCCGAAGGAGTCCCGCGAGTCTAGGAGCTGCACCTCCAGCGTCTGGTCCGCGAGGGAGTGGACCAGAAACCTGTGCGTGCCCTCCTGCTCGGGGATCGGCAGGGGTGCTCGCGGCCTGAAGGGGCCCTGGCTGTTCTCGCGCCGGCCTGGAGCCCTCGGCAACCATGGGGACCCTCGAGGGCCTCGTGGGGGGTGCGCCAGAAGCCGTGTGGGCCTCCGCGGCAAAGCTAGGGCCACCTCAGGGTGGGGCACCTCTGGCCACACCCGACCTGTGACGCCATCCTGGGCCCCGGCATGGTGCATCCCTCCTGGCCGAGGCCAGGAGGAGCCATGTGCACCATCCCAGGGCCCAAGACGGCCCTCCGCTGCGGCTCCTCTGGCGACCACTCCGGGCTCAGGGTGCGGTGCTTGGCCACGGTGCGCCACCGCGAGTCGCCGACCTGCAGCTGGCAGCAGGCGCTGCGGCTCGGCGCGGCCCGAAGCCAAGGCGGCAGGCCGGAGCTGGGCGGCGGCGCCAGGCCGGATGCCCTCTCGACCCGGATGTGGAGAACGCCCTCGGGCAGCACACGGCGCACCTGGAGGACGAAAGAACGAGGGGCCTCGCGCACAGGGACGTAACGGCCCTACGCGGTGGCTCACGCAGGCCGCCCTCGGGGCGCACCGCGCGGAAAGAGAAGGATGCACACGCGCGGCCGAAGGCGAACGCGCTCGTAGCAGGACGCCGACTGCATACCTGGACCGATCCTTACCAAACCCATCCTGTGCCCACGGCCGGTATACTCTCCTCGAGTCCTGGCCAGGACGCTGGCATACACACCGCCCCTGGGCCCATGGTCGGCCTGGGCAGGATCGGTGTGCGTGTACAGTGGACGCCCTCCCGCTTCGGGCAGCACACAACGCGCCTGAAACCAGGCATCGTCGTCGTTGATGTCCAACAGGATGGGCGCGACCCGCGGCAGCATCAGCTGCGCGATGAGTGCGTTCCTGATGGCTGACGCCAGCTGGTTCTCCAGCCATATCGGACTCAGCGCCTGGCCCAAGGCCTCGATGGTCAACTTTAACGCCTCCCTTCTCCCCTCTCAGGAAGGGCGACGCGGAGCAGGAGGAGGAGGAGGAGGAGGAGGAGGAGGAGGAGGAGGAGGGATGAGATGTTCTCTCCTCGAGGAAGTCGTCTAAGCCCCCTCCTTCCCTCCGCAACTACTCAGTAGGAGTAGCCGCATGCGTACTAGTCCAGTCATGTCCAGCTGTGCTACCGCCTCTTCCGAGCAGTGTTTCCCCACCAGATCATATTGGGAAGGCCTTGCGGCCGGCGCCGCCGACCCTGAAGGGGCACGACGACGACGGCGGCGTCGGCGGCGACGACGACGCTGACGTGGGCAGAGCCCTCAAGGATGCCTCGTGGGGCCTCGTCGGAGAGCTTTCGCAAGCCGCTGGGCGGCAATTTTGGGCCTCTTTTTTATGGCGAGTTCCGTCGCCGCTCTCTGCACTCTTGCGAAAGACTATACGCGAGCCTATGGCGAACAAAAGTGGCAAAAGATGCCGGCTACTGGTGGGTCATCACACCATGCTTCAGCACGGCGAAAAAAGCGGCGGGAAACATCACCCCCTTCTCAACCCCTTGCGGGCGGGCGAGCGGGCTCGACCGCCCCGCGCGGAGCCTGGAGCCCCCCGTTCAGTAGCCGATTGCGACGGAGCCATGTGGATCCGAAGCTTGACCATACACACGCGCCTCGAGGGACAACACCTTCTGGCACCCTTCCGCGGGCGCCGCCGCCTCCGTGTGGTCATCCTCTCCCAGCAGCCCTCCGACACGATACCCAGTGCGCTGAAGGTTCTTGACGTAGACGTTCAGATAAGGCTGCCTCTTGTCGGTGTGACCGCTGCCGACTTTGAGCTCCGCAGGCCCGAGTTTCAGCCACTTCGGCGTCTCGTCACGCACGTCGCGAGCGTTGAAGTGAAAGCCTCCAGGCCGCGCCTTGTTCGCCCACGTCCCTGTGGCGTTGACCTCCCGGAAGTACATGTCCGAGCAATGTGCCCCCAATCGACGCGCGTCGGCCTTTACAACAAGCAGCGCATCCTCGACGGGCGTTCCGCGCGGAACGCTGACCAAGACGGACGTGCCTGGCCTCACCAAGTCGAACCGCTGACCGAACATGTTCTGCAAGTGTGGGTCGCTGGTGGCGGAGGACGACGACGTCGTCGGTGCGAGCGTTGGTGCCGGCGTTGGTGCTGGCGTCGACGCCATCGTCGGCATAATGAAGCTGCACGTATTTCCATTGAGGCACTGGGTCGAACCCTGGTTGGCTCCGTCGGTGTTTCCATCGACAACCATGGAGCCTGAATCTGTTGTCCCCGAACAGTCTGCGCATGCAACAGATACGTACGTGTTGCCACCATCTGTGGAATACAGCATGCTGCCTGCCCAGGCATCCATTGTTGGATTATGCATCTGCAGCGCCAGGATCGCGCTGGAAAAACACTTCGAGAGCACTGTTGCACCTTGGGCAAAGACACCGGAGGCCTCTTGCACAAGTCCACTGCCCACGTCCACGCTCACGTCCACGCTGCCTTGATTGTTGGACCCAGTGCCAGTGACAATCTGCAGACAATAAAGCGGCGCAGTTGGGCTGGGCGTTGGGCTCGGCGTCGCCGGCGTCGGGTCCCGTTGGAGGGCATATGAAGACACTCCCGCTTGCGTAGCGCATGAGTCCAAGTCCACTTGGTGTCGCAGAAAGCATCTACTATACGTCTCATCATACGTGATACCGTCGCATCCCACTGAAGCCTCACACGATTGTCTTGCACGCATCGACACTGATCGTCGTGTACGTGCTCCGGGGGCAACAATCATGCACCTGCGCACCTGCACCAGGCCTTAAGTCAGCTCCAGTCCCAGGCGGATAACAATTTGTCGACGACGCCGCGTCCGTCCAAGTGGTGCCGCCAGTCTGTGCCGTGAAATCAGTCCGTAGCGTTGCCGCCTCTAAATCGTCCGGCCCATGCACTGACATCTGCATGAGCTGCATTTCGGCGCCCACAGTGTAAGCGAGCGCAAATGCCCCCGCAGAGATCAATACGTGTACCATTGCTGAGTCGACGACAGCCAAGAAGTGTAGCAGTGAATGTTCAGTTGCGATGTGAGAAAGCGAAGAGCTCACCTTGAGCCGAAATGGCTACGGTCGGCAGTTTTGGGCCTCTTGGGAGCACCTCGAGGCCTCTTGGGAGCCGCTTGGGGGTCTCTCCGGGCTTCCTGGGGGCCTCCTGGGGGCCTCCTGGGGGTCTCTTGGGGCCTCGTGGGGGCCTCTTGGGGCCTCCTGGGCGCTTCTCGGGTCCGAAAGCTCGAAATGTTCGTTCGTGCTCCCGTGTGGGCACCCTCTTTGAACCGTTTGGGGGAGTCTCGGAGGTCTCCAGGGCCGTCTTGGGGCCCGTTTTGGGGCCGTCTTGGAAACCTCTTGGTCAGGAAGGGATGAAGGGAAGGGCTTCCCTTCGACTCAACAACGGCATTCCTCCTGTTCGTTGCGGCTGGCGAGCTCGAGTAGGAGAGCTCAGGGAAAGGAGGGGTAAAGCTGCGACGGGCGCAGGAGAACTCTGCAACGACGACGACGATTTCTGATGTTGTCCATGTGCTTTGTCAATGGGTACTCTGTGGTCCTTCCAGAACGGCGCTCCCGCCGCAGTGGCCAACGCGGTGCTTCGCTCGTGTCGCGTCGTTCACAGTGGCACTTTCGCCTCAGCGCGGGCCACATTTCTGGATCGGATTCCCGTCGTCGTTGCCGCTTCACTCCTTCTCCCTTCTCCGCCTTCCCCTGAGCCTCCTGCTCCTCCTGCTCTTCCTGCTCCTGCTTCTGCTCCCTCTCCGCCCTCCGCTTCCTCTTTGTCCCCCTCGTCCTGCGCATCCGCCTCCTCCCCATCTGCCTTCATGTGCAGCCCCCCCTTTCCGATTGTGCAGCCCTCGTTAGAGGCTCAATGTCACCTAGGGTACCCCCTGTCGGCAGATAGAGAAGGATCCAATGCAATGCGAAGAGATTGGGAAGAGATGGGCTGGAGGGACCGTATGTCAGACGTGGCGCGAGCGTGCCCAACTTGCTCTTCTCCCCCCCCTCCTTCCTCCTCCTCTGTCCCCTCCCTCTCTCGCTTCCCCTCTCCATCTCCCACCTCTCTGCGCCCCCTCGCCCATGAGAATTCCGCAACCTCCGCTGAACTGATGGAGGTGAAGCTTCATTCCGCGAGACGCACTGGTAGAGTGATGGCACTCGTCGTGGTAGTCAGAAGTGGAGGCGGTGAGACCGAGGTGAAATCGAGTGCCACCCCACCAGAGCATGGAACTCAATGTCGGTTCGTGCCGTGCTGCTCGAGGGCGAAGGCAGCCCAGCCTTTGCCAAGCCAGTGCCACGCCACAGACGCTTCGGAACCCGTGCCGGCCGCTGTCCTGTCGCTGCTTGTACGGCTTCGGGTTGCGCGCCGACGGCCGCCCGTGGTAGTCCTGGTTGGCCCCGATGGGCTCCCCGAATAGGCCTTGGGCGGTCGAGTCTCAACTCCTCGACCCTGGGGCGCGGAGCGCCCCAGGGGCGCTGGCGGAGGCGGCGCCAGGGTGCTGAGACCGCCCCAGGCTGCTCGGGGGGCCTGTTGAGGCCAGCTGGGACTACCTTGGGGGGGGGGGGCCTGCTGAGGACAGCCGGGACAACCCGGAGGGGCTGTCTGCGCTCAGGTCGAGCGCTTACGACTTGTTGGCCCCTGCCTGCCGCGGACCTGCGGACCTCCGGGCCGTCCCGCGATTGCCCCGCGGTTGTCCCGTGGGGCGGGCTGGGCGGACGCCACGGGCGCGGCGAGCGTCGGAGCCCGTCGCCCCCGTGGCCCCGCCGCTCGCCGCAGCTGCACCCGCGGCCGCGCCGAGGAGCAGCTGCGGCGCCGCACCTCACCGGGGGGCGGCCCTCGTCGCACTCCCTCGTCGCACTCGGGCGACGAGAAGGGAAGGGGGTCGCGCGAGAAGACGCAGCGACCTTACGCCGCAGCTTACAATGGGCCACCAGCGTGGCACACCGCGCGGAGAAGGGGGCGTCTCCGCGCGGCCTTCGACGTGGGAAGCTTGCGCGCGAATGTCCGCGCAATGGGCCCCGTCTTCTTCCGGCGCTTACTTGTCGCGCCACCGTGATGTCAGCTGCCCCGTCGGCCAGACCACGCCCATGCGGCAACACTTCCGTGGCTCACAGAGATCCCCTCTCATGGTGTGATGTGCACGTGCACTGGACGGAACTGAAAATGCATGTGCTTGAGTTCAGATGACATGGGCCAGAGTGGATCACCACTTCTCCGTCTCCCTCCCTGGAGCTCTCCAGAAATCTCAGAAGGTCCCTCGAGGCCTGTTGACCCCTCCGCAGGACAATGCACCCCTCTTGCGCACACTCCTGCGAACCAAACGTCTATCTTGACTCAGCACACGCACGAGAAACGGACAGGATGTTGCAGAGGCAGGCTCGGATGATTCGTCGTCCTCCTCCTCCTCCTCCTCCTCCTCTTCCTCCTCCTCCTCCTCCTCCTCCTCCTCCTCCTCCTCCCCATTTGCTGCTGCTCCTCCTCTTCCCCTTCCCTCTCGCCACGCTTGGCGGCGGGTCGGCGAAATAGATGCGCAAGCCAGAGAAGAACGGGGGGCGCGGCAACATCCGCTTGAGATATATGACGAGGCTACCCTTGATGGCCACCTGCAGGAGGAAGAGAACAACTGACTTGGATTTGTTTGGCGTCCAGAGACCTCGGGGTCCGAGATCTCTAGGGACTTCTGGGATGATGATGGTGATGACGACGATGATGACGGTGGTGCTAATGCTAATGCTGGTGCTGCTGCTGTTGATGACGAGGCGGAGGAGTGCTCTGGTGGCTTCAGGGAGTTCGAAGTTTTTTTTTCAGAAATGTATTGGGGGTCTGGGGATACTTCAGGAGACCATGGATGGATGAGGAAGGAAGGAGGGTGGAGGACCAGGACGAAAAGGAGGAGGGTGATGAGGAGACAAGGGCTGAACGTGAGGGGGAGGATGAGGATAGACGGAGAGGAGGATGGAGGAATCTGCATCCGCGCCCCTTGGCACGAAGTGGAGTGCTGTAGTGCCTGACTCATGGCCCCTGCCCATGCACTGTTCCAGGCGCGCCGACACCCCCCTCCCAGGGCTCCCTGGGCGCCTCGATGCCGTTCTGGTGGTCTCCAAGGCCTCCGATATTAGAGGGCAGCAAGCCCACCCTCATAATCATCACCCCGACAAGCGAAGCCATTTAGAAAACGCCTCCAAGGAAGGAATCGAACAGGGCAAGGCTGGTTGGTGAACGCCCAGGGCCGTTTAACACACGTCAGATGTGGGGGCCTGGGTGGCTTTCCCTCCCTTGAGATATACTCAAGATGGCTTCCAAGTCGGCCCAGGAGGGCCAGCGGCCACCAAGATGGCGTAATCTGGTGCCAAGGGGGACCCAGCAACGATCCACAACACTCCAAGGGGCGCCCAGAACACTCCAGGGGGCGCCCTGAAGCCCCAAGACGCCCCCGAAAGGCGCGCTCCACGCTCCAGGAGGCGGCGAGAAGCTGCAAGCACGGATTCTATTTTTCAGCCTGTCAACGCGCTTCGTCCCAAGAGGCCGCAACATGTCCCAAACGCTGTCCAGGAGACATCCAAATTGGCACCCAAGATGCCCCACATGGCCCCACGAGGGCACCCAAGCGGCCGCAAAGAGTCCCAAGGTGACCCCTGAGACGGCGCAAGGACCTCCATTGGCCGCTGCAATATGACCCAAGAACGCCCCAAGACAATTCCGCGGCCCCAGGACCGTCCAAAGCTGCCCAGCAGGCCCGCAGCTGGCCGCCGGACCCTCCAGCATTACCCGAATACCCCCCAGCGGACTCCCGGGAGGCCCAAACAAGGCCCCAAAGATCCTCCAACACACTTCCGGGAAACTCCCGAAAGCCCGGATGTCGCGTGTTACGGCCCCCCTGGGACATGAGGCAGCCGCCCCGGTGGGGCCCGCCAGCCCGACTCGCCCTTTGCAGGGTCCGCCTGCCACGCCCGCCCGTCACTGTGCCGCCAGAGAGAATGCGTCGGGGGCGCTAGCCCGCGTCTGGATGCCAGGAATGACTGAGTTGGTTCCATGCCCTCCTGATTGCCAATATTCACTCACGTCGTTCGGCAATAGTGGTCCCACTCAGAGAGAACATTCGCCCAGGTGCTTCATTCAGCTGGGCGGGATCTATGCTGATGGTGATGACGGTGACGGCGATGAGGAGGAAGCTGAGGAGGACGAGGATAACGAAGAGTAGAAGGGATAACGAGGAGCAGAGAGACAAACATAAGTAGGATCAACATTGAGGAAACATGACGTTACCCTTGATTGCCACCTGCTCGAATATGAGGGTCCCGCTGTTAGCCTTCCAAGACACGTCGACTGCGGCGTCCCAGTTGATCTGCGCGGTCACTTTCAGGTCTCTGACGGGCCCGGTCCAAGAGCAGACCTGGTCAACGCCTCTAACGTCGACCTGGGGCGACGAAACAGCTACAGACAGGGGCAGGCCGAAGTCGACACTTTTCTGTTTCGACTTCCTGACGTTTTTGACGACACCAGTGACATCGACGACAAAGGCAATGACCACCACGATGGTGGCGACTGTGACAGCGACGGCGATGACGCTGGCGAAGGCCTGCGAATATTACAGGCGTCGGAAGCAGCGACGCAACATTCGCGCAGTGCGGTTTTCAAGGGCCCTTGCCGTGTAATGTTGGCATTCGACCTCCTGAATTTCACTCAGCGTCGGATTCAGGTGCACGAACTTGTAGTTTTCGGGGCATTGCCCCCAAATCCTACCATGGGCTTCTTCTTCCCCATATCCTAAATCTGGGTTTTTGTTCCCGGTGTCAGAGGTTGGGGTTCTGGTTATTACTGTGACGTCTCCGCCTCCTTCCCGCCTCCTTCCTCCTCGCCCACTGTCAGACTCAGTCATACTCAGACTCACTGGCATTCAGAACCGCTCGTACACAGCCCACTCACACTCATGTCTTCATACCAGGCTTAGTCACACACAGACTCATTCACACCCAGCCGCACTCGCAGCCCATCAATCATATTATGAACCACCCATACTCGAACTATGGCTACACACACACGCCCTCACGCTCAGACAAACTCACCCCATACATGGCATTTTGGGCACCCCAAGCAGAAGCCGCCGGGAAGGGGGACACTTGCACGTTCGCGCCCAGATTGTGGGGATGTCTCAAGCGGCTTTCCTGTTCGGTGGCCCAAGCTTCTCTCTCTTAAGGGCCTCATGATCACCGCGATGACACTCGCCCGCTCGCGGCCAGATTGTGTCTCAGGCTTCTTCCCCCCTCTCTCTCTCTCGAGGACCTCATGATCACCGCGGTTTAGCAGGCGTGGCATTTGGGCACTCCAAGGAGGAGCTGCCAAGGATGGGGGACACTTGCCCGTCCGCAGCCAGATTGTGAGGACGTCTGTTTGGTGTCTCAGACTTCTTCTTCTCTCCTGAGAGACTCATGGCCACCGAGGTAAAGCAGGCGTGGTACGTGGGCGCGCCAAGGAAGACCCTTCAGGGAGGGAGACGCGTGCCCGTTCGCGCCCATGTTAGGGGGGATGCCTCAAGCGGTGCCTGGCCCACGCTCCTCTCTCTTGTGAGCCCGACGCTCGCCGCGATATATAGCAGACGAAGCACTTAGGCACCCTAGGGACGAACCGCCAGGGGTGGTTGCCTTACCCCGTTCGCGGCCAGACCGTGGGGATGCCCAATGCGGCTTGCCCGTTCGGTTGCCTCGGCTTCTCTCCCTGGCGGGCCCCGTGGTCGCGACGATATAGCATGCGTGGCCTTTCGGCACCCCAGGATGGAACCGCCAACCCCCGTGCACGTCTAGATTGGATGGACGTCTCAAGCGGTTTGCTCGTTTCAGCGCCTCGGGCTCCTCTCTTGTGAGAGCCCCATGGCCACCGCGATGTAGCATGCACGGTCTAAGGGGTGCTGCACTTGCTCATTCGCGCCCAGATCGTTGGTTATCTCAGGTGAAACCCTGGTTTCGGCACCCCTGACCCCTCTGACTCCTAAGACTATCTCAACGTAGCAGGTATAACACTTGGCGCCCCCCCCCCCCCCCCCTCCCCGAGGGGGAGCCGCCACGGAGCGCTCCGTCGCCACACGCAAAGGTCCTGCCACTCAGGCGCTCACAGACGGGTGCCAAAGACTGAAGATCTCCGCGCCGACGAGTTATTCGTATGATGCCTCCACCTCCCTCCTTTCTCCCCCCCAAATCCTTCCTTGTCTTATTCATGCGTCCACTTGCACTGGTAATCCGGGTTTCACAAAAAAGGGAGGGGCGGTCTGCTTTTCTTCTTGGTCTGACTTGAGGAGCTGTCTTGGAGGGTTCTCGGGGGTCCGGGCAACAGGCTGCCCTTTCATGGCTGGTCAGGGGGTGGTCTGAAATTGCCCGTCTGTGAACTTTGTGCCACCCCTTTATCGTGAACTCCAGAATGCGCAAGCTCGTTCATGCTCAGGCTCGCTCACACTCTGATTTACGCCTACTCAGGCTAGCTCACAATCATACTCGCTCACACATATTCACTTATATTCAACTTGTTCTTTCTCAGACTCGCTCTCATTCAATTCCACGGATGCTCATCAGACTTGCTCAAGCTCAGGCTCGTGCACACGTACCCGTCACAGTCGGATCATTCGCACTCACAGTATGGTCACCGCAGTCTAGCTGGCGTGTTGCGTGGCCACCCCAGGAGGGGGACCACCAGGTAGGGGGACGCTCGCCAGTTCGTGCGCAGATCGTGGGAACGTCTCGAACAGTTTGCCTGTTTTTGCCCCCTCCCCCCCCTCCCCTTCTTCAGAGACCTCCCTTTTGAGGGCCCCCTTATCACTGCGACAAAGCAGGCGTTGCACTTGGGCACCCCTCGCGCCCGGACTGTGGGGACGTCTCTGGCGATTTGCTGGTTTTTGTCCTCCATGCTCCTACCTTGTGAGGCCCCCATGATCACGGCAGCACGCAGTGACGCTGCACTTGAGCACCCCGAGGGGGGGCTGCCACGGAGGGGGCCGCTCGCAAGCTTGCGCCCAGATAATGGGGATGTCTGGAGCGGTTTGCCTGTGTTTGCCTCCCCAAGAACTCTTTCCTCTCTCTCGGTGGCCCCATGGTTGCCGCGATGTGGCATGCGTAGCGCCGGGGCACCCCAAAGGAGAGCCGCCAGAGGGTGTATCACGGGCCCATGCGAGCCCACATTTTTTTCCCCTCCCCAAAGAAGACACGTGATGATGACAACTGCCAGCTTCCCAACTGATGGGACGATGACTCCACCACGCTAGCCTAGAGAAGGTGGTCGGGACCCCTGTCCCGAGCAGTGCAAAGTGGTGGCCAGGCCCACCCTTTCGTGTGACGACGACGTGTGACGACGTGCTCCTCTTCTTCTTTCCTCTCATGGCGGTCTTGCTGTCTCTATGCGAGCCCAGATTTTTAGGGAATGTCTGGCGCGGTTGGCCTGCTTCGGCGCCTCGGACTGCTCTTATGTCGGGACTCCGTGATCACAACGACATCACAAGCATGACACTGTGGGCGCCGCAGGGGGGAACCGGGTTGGGGGGGATGTCTGAAGCATTTTGCGTGCCTCGGCGCCCGGGACTTCATTTCTTGGGAGCCCCCTGATCACCGCGATGTGGCAGCCATGGCCTAAGGAATGCTGCGCTTGCCAGTTCGCGCCGAGATGGCGAGACCGCTCAAGCGAAACGATCGCCGAGGCACCCCCGACCCCGCCCCTTGCGCACTCCCACGAACATCCCGATGTAGCAGGCATGCATTTGGGCCCTCCTGGGGGTGGGGCCGCAAGCGAGCGCTCAGTCGCTACAGTCGAAAGCTTTCTCACGGAGACACTCACAGACGGAGTGCCAGGAACTGAGCTGCGCATGTTATGATCCCCGCGCCGAGTCATTATTACTGGGGCGCCTCCGCCTGCTCACACGCTCACGGCGTCTCATCACACTCATAGCACATATACTCAGACTCGCTCGCACTCATATTCAATCGGGCTCAGGCTCTCACTCGCATGCACACTCGGATCACTCATAGTCAGACTCGCTCAGGCGTGGCACTTGGCCCCCTCACGGGGGGCCGCCATGGATGGTGGCTCTCGTCCGTTCGCGCCCAAGTTGTGGGGATGTCCAAAGCAAGTTGCCTGTTTTTGCCGCCCCCCCCCAAACTAATTTCTTGTGAGAGCCCCATGGCCACCGCGACATAGGAAGCGTGGCCGTGGGCCACCCTAAGGGGGCGCTGGCGGGGAGGGAGACGCTCGCCCGTTCGCGCCCCGACTGTGGGAATGTCTCAAACGTTTTTTTTTTTTTTTTTTTTTTTTTTTTTTTTTCTCTCTCTCTCTCTCTATATATCTCTCTCTCTCCCTTGAGGGCCCCTGGATCACCGCGACATAGCAGGCGTGACACTTGCGCGCGCCCCGATGGGGAACCGCCGTGGACGGGGGACACGCCCCTGGTCGCGTCCAAACGGTGGCGATGTCTCTTGCCCCCCTCCCGCACACACCTCACGCTTTTTACGCCGGCGGCTAGCCAGAGGGACTGCGCTGGCGAGTAAAGCGGAACGGGGCAAAGTGAGGCGAGTTCAGCCACTGTGCAGGGGGGGGGGAGGAAGGGCGACGAGGTGACGGCCCCCCCCCCCCCCCCACCACCCGCACAGCAGACCCGAACATGGCAACCGGGCACCCGCAGAGAGGGGGGCAGGGAACCGCTCTTGGGAGGATGTGCCACAAGCGGTTCTCGCCTGATGCGGCGCCTTGGGCTCCTCTTTTTTGAGAGCCCCGTGGTCACCGCGATGCAGCCGGCATGGCCTACGACATGTTACGCTCGCAACTTCGCGCCCAGGTCATGGGACCTCTCAGTCGAAGCGCTGGCTTAAGCACGCCCGACTGTTACTGCTGGGGGGAGCGCCAGGGAACGATCACTTGCTAAAGGCTAAGGCTCTCTCACTCAGACACTCACACACTGGAGTGCCAAGAACTGAAGTGCACTGGGGAAATCCGCGTCGAAAAAAATGGCTGGCTGCACTGTTGTTGCGTGCCGTCTAAGTCTCTCACTCTCCGCCGCGTGCCGACTGATTGGATAAATATGGCGGCCAGGGTCTTCCTTGGACACTTCGCTAGGTGGCCTGCGCAAGATGCTGGCCCCGACTGTGCGACCAAGCTTCGGTATTTAAGCAGCGCCACGCTGTCTTGTTCTCTAGCAGCGCATGTAGTTAAGGCTCTTGGGGTGGAATTTTAGGTCCTTGCGGGCAGCAGGCATGTAGGACTCGTAGAGCGTACGAAGAACGCATGATGGCTCGCATTGTGCAAACACATCTAGGCCTTCCATGTAATGGTCAGGCCTTTCCTCGAACGAATGCGACGCTTTTTCTTTGTATCCTAAGTGAGTTCTAAATGATGATTTCGGTATCAGTTGCACGAGCTCTCTGACGTTCTTCTTACAATGCAAGTTGGTGGTTTCTTTCAACAGGGGGGTAAAAGGTCACAAGCAAAGCCATTGGCCGCGCACGTGGGCATTAACGTAACTAACGCTGTCAACTGTGGATTTGTTATGCCTATGGTGAGCAAGGTATCCGACGTCGATTGTCAGGCCGTAATGTGGGGCCTGGGACTGCAGACTGAATGCCTGCATTATGCGGCTTTCGCCCTGTAAGCCTGTGCAGAGAATCCTCTGGGTTGGCCCGCATCGATCGAAGCCAACCTTTTCATGCGATTTGGGGCTGCCGCTTCTTCTGGCACCCGGCTGCCTGCTCCAGTTCGATCGCCGACTCGCCGAAGGACAGGCTCCCGAAGCCCAGGCCCTGCAGAAACCACGGGACGCTCGCCTTGATGGAGTCCTCCGGGGAGGACGCCACGTTGACGCCCACACGCCGCTCCCGGCCTGCCCGCTCCGGGCCAGGCATCGGTGTGCGTGCTCTTCGTCCACACGCGAGAGCGACCCGGGGCAGGAGTGACCTCTGGTGCGCGGCTCCCGGGGGGGCCGCGGGAGGGGCAGAAGCAGGCGCGCGAGGCGCCGCCGCCGCCTCGCTCGGGCCGGGCAAAGGGGGGGGGCTAGCCGAGGGGGGGGGGGGCTTGAGACTCAGCTTACGTAGCTGATTTTCCCAGCGCCTCCCGGCGCCGGGAGGCGCCCATGTATCGAGGAATGGGCCCGGCGGCGGGGCCGAAACCAGCTGCACGCAGCAGATTTCGTGACCCCCCCCCTTTCCCTATCCCCCCCCTTCCGTTCGGCCCGACTCGCGCTCGGAGGTCGGGGGGGCCCGTGGGCCCGCACCAGAGGTCACTCCGGCGGAGGGCCAATTTTTGCGTGTAGTCGAGAGTGCTTTCCTGGCCAAGCGCGGCGAGAATGTGCACACCGATGCCGGGATCCAGGGTGGGCCTGGCGGATCGGCGTGGGGGTGCACGCGACGGGTTCGCGTCGCCGTGATGCCCAGGGCGGGACCTAAACGTTGTTCTTCGTCGTGTGCTTTTCGTCTCGCTCCACCCGTTCGCCTGCACCTCCCTGCCACAACGAACAACAAAAGAGAGCACAGCGCAAGCCCAGCAAAGCGGCGTTTAGGTCCAACCACGGTGATGCCGGTGCGGGTCTCTGATGCCGCGTGGATATCGCTGAACGATCGCGGCTTTCCGACAGCGCAAGTCCTTGCATGGTGGCTCTGCGGTCCTGCGTCGTTCGGCCTCGACCGCCCGCGCGGGGGCTGCCGCCGCGCCGACGCGGCGCGAACCTGCCGTCGTTCGCGTTCCCCAGTCCTCGACGCTCTCCTTCAAGATCCTGCGGGCACTCGTTAACGGGGGTGGGGAAAGGAACGCGGGGTGGAGAAACGTGTTCCGGCCCAACACCTCGGTCGGGCATGTCCCCCTACAGGAGGATCTGGGAGAAAAGAATACAGCACAGTCGAGAAATGCCCCCAATCAGATTCAAAAACTGATAGAAAATCGTCCTCTGACTATTTTGGGAGGAAATATAGCAAGTACCCAAACATACTCCCCAAATAATCAAATAATAATAGAAACATAGTCCACAGACTACTTTTGAGCATCTTCGAATATTCCTCCTGTCGAGGAAGAGGCCCGACTTAAGCCCAACACCTCTTGGGCCCGCTGTGGCAGCTCGGGGGCCATGGAGGGCCTCCTTCCTGCAGACCTCGACGCCCCCCGCCTCCTCCTCCTCCTCCTCCTCCTCCTCCTCCTCCTCCTCCTCCTCCTCCTCCTCCTCCTCCTCCTCCTCCTCCTCATCCTCCCCCTCCTCTTCCTCCCCCTCCTCCTCCTCCTCCCCCTCCTCCTCCTCCACCTCCTCCTCCTCCTCCTCCTCCTCCTGCTCCTCCTGTTCTCCTCCTCCTCCTCCTCCTCCTCCTCCTCCTCCTCCTCCTCCTCCTCCCCCTCTCCCCCGTGCCAATGCTGTTCTATACTCCTCTGGGGGAGTCGGCTGGGGACGCACGGGGCGCCACTAAGGGCGTGGATTCCCCACGCCCGACGAGCACCCCAGCCGAGCCCCCAGGGGAGTGAACAGCGGGGCGACAGTGGCAAGAGGCACGCTCAAGTGCCCTCCCAGCACAAGGAGGATGCGTCGCCCTAGACCGGACCTCCTCCAGCAGTGCTTATATTGCCCACCTTGCAGGTTCGGGTCGGAGAGCCACAGGCCCCGCCTGGGTGGTCACCCTGGTGGAACACGTTTCACCAGTGACAGGCTAAGCATGGCCCTCCTGAGCGAGGTTGACACCAGCTGCCTGTCGGCTCCGCCAGATGGTCTCAACGAGGACGCCGGAGGATTTCTCCTCCAGGAGCCTGCCAGCAATACTGGCGACCCTACACACCTTCCTTAGGAGGCATGCGCCTCCATGACACTGCCCGGTTTTGTCAATTTTCATTCGGACAAGTCGGAGGGTCTGACCTCCAGGACGCAGCCCGGCGGCAATGCCGGCGGTCCTGCACATTCTCATATCCTAGCGTGTGGCATGTGCCCGTAGGACATGGCCTGGCGCCAATGCCAGCGGAGAAGCATTCCAGTCGGAGGTTCTGCCCTCCAGGACACAGCCCGGCGGAAAGGCCGGCGGTCCTGCACAATCACCGTTACCCATCTTGCAAGGAAGGCGGTCAATACCTCGAGGTCGTTCACCTCGAGATCTTTACTTCGCTGTCTGAAGGCACGCGCGGGCATATGCTACGCTTGGCTCCTCGTGCGCAGGCGAAGGCCAACGGCAGTGCCAGATCTCGTGCATCCACAGATTATGCACGCACGTCGCGAGGCATTCGCCTCAAGGACACAGCCCGGCGGCAAAGCCGGCGGTCCTGCACAATCTAACTCTCTCCGCTTACCATGGCCTCGTCTTAGACGGTGGCCAACGGCCGTGCCAGCTGTCGTGCACCGCGGATGCTGCACACATGTCGCGAGGCCTTCGCCTCAAGGACACAGCCCGGCGGCAAGGCCGGCAGTCCTGCTCAATATCTTTTCGTCTGGCTACCATGGTTGTCTCCTATTAGCGTCATTGCCTGTTTTCGTGAAATCGCAGATAATGCAGTATGTCGCGAGGCATTCGCCTCAAGGACACTGCCCGGCGGCAAGGCAGGCAGTCCTGCACAGTCTCACTCTTTGTGGTTACCATGGCTTGTCTCCTATTCGTCGTTGGCCAGAGTCAGGGCCAGCTTTCGTGCGTCCACAGATTATGAACGCACGTCAAGAGGCATTCGCCTCAAGGACAGAGCCCGGCGTCAAGGCCGGCAGACCTGCACATTTGCACTCTGCTGCCATGGTTCCTCCTATCAGACGTCGACCAGTTTCAGTTTCAGCTTGCGTGCATCCACAGTTTATCTAAGCATGTCGCGAGGCATTCGCCTCAAGGACACAGCCCGGCGGCAACGCCGGCAGTCCTGCATAACCCCATGTTGTCCGGCTTGCATGGCTGACTCCTACCGACGTCATTGCCAGTTTTCGTGCAATCGCAGATAATGCAAGTATGTCGCGAGGCAGTGGCCTCAAGGACACATCCCGGCGGCAAGGCCGGCATTCCTGCACAGTCTCACGCTTTGCGGCTACCATGGGTTGTCTTCTAGTCGACGATGGCCAGTGTCGAGGCCAGCTTTCGTGCGTCTACAGATTATGAACGCACGTCGCGAGGCATTCGCCTCAAGGACACAGCCTGGCGGCAAGGCCGGCAGTCCTGCGCAATCGCACTCTGCTACCATGGTTATCTCCTATCAGAGGTTGGCCAGCTTCATTTGCAGCTTTCGTGCATCCACAGTGTAACTTTGCAAGCATGTCGCGAGGCATTTGCCTCAAGGACACAGTCTGGCGGCAAGGCCGACAGTCCTGCAAAATATCATTCTGTCCGGCTAACATTGCTTATCTCCTGTTAGACGCTGGCCAGCGTCCGGGCCAGCTTTCGTGCATTCACAGATTACGCTCACGCCACGGGCTGGCAAGGGGATCCCCTAGACGCCAGGCCCACGGCGATAACACCCCTCGTGCTGCGCGGGCCTCGCGGCCCGCTCTTGCACGCGCCACTCTTGCCTTCACCTCCAAACTTCTCCTCTCTCCTCCTTCCTCCCCTCATCGCCCTTGGAGGATGCGGAGGATTCTCACGCGTTTCGTGCGTCCAGCGCGCTGAGGCGCGTCAGTCGCGAGCGGGAGAAAGCAGACGTATCCTGCCGGGATACACTGTGGCTGGCGGCTCTGTGGCGCATTCCCTCCCACCGCGGTCCGATGCACCAGAGCGGTGCCCAATGAAGATAACCGCGCCCAGGAGAGAGGGGACGAGGATGTTGGCAGTGCTCAAACGCATCGCTTGGTATTGCAGCAGCAGTGGTTAGATAAACCAGTGGTGCAAGCTATCGTGTCCGCCGCCGACTTGGCAAGATAATCATTTATCTCAAGCTGTATTGCAGCAGCAGTGTTTAGGAAATCCAGTGGTGAAGGCATAGTGTCCGAAGCTGCATTGGCACGGAGAAGGAAGCGGCACCGCATGCTCACGTCGGAGGGTCGGGCCTCCAGGACACAGCCCGGCGACAATGCCGGCGGTCCTGCGCAATTGTCTTCATGGGGCATGCTCACTAAGCCCTGTTAGTCTTACAAGGGTGACTTGGGTCCGCTGGCCTCATCCTTGTCCTCGGGAATACCCCGTGACACCGTTAGGATCCGCGGGCGGTCCTAACCAAGTAGTGTTCGCACGGGGTCTGCCCAGCGAGCTCCGGAAGCGCCTTTCCGGTGCACGTTGGCCCCAAAACGGGCCCGCCGACAGGCCCAAAAATTCCTTGTTACAGGTGGGTTGGTGAGTATTTGTTTGTTTTATGCTTCGTTGTGGGGGGGAAAGCCTTTACTATCCCCACTCCCCGGCATCCCGGCCTCCTCGACCACCTGGGGCCCCTCAGCGGCCTCCTGAGGTCGCAGGCCTGAGGTTCCGCCAGGCCTTATCGCCAGAGGTCTCTTGGGGAACCCTGAGTAAGATTGCGCAAGACCCCATGGTGCCCAACCGGGACATCCCCTTCATGCGCTTCCCCCCTCTCGCCCTCCGATTGCGCAGGCGTTAGGCGCCTAGGCAGCGCCACTGCCGCTGTCTTGTGCCTAGTTTTGTCGTCGCCGTCTGCCTCGCTGACGCCACTGGACTGTTGCTACACAGCTCGCCGCTAGTAAAATGCTCTCTCTTTGTTGTCGTCAATCGCTGCTGTCCCCACCGCGCGCCGAGGCGATGATGCGGGGCGCAGGGAAACGGACAACTGAGGACCCCCCCAGGGAAACGGACAACTGGGGAACCGACTCGTCCTCAATGACTCGCCAAGCTCATCGTCCCCGAAACCCGAAGGGGTTTTGAAGGTCGGAGATGCCCCTCGCCGTGAGCTTTCTGGGGGTCACACCCGATACGAAACTCTCGAAGTTCGTATCCTCCCAGTCTTGGGCAGAAGGCCTACGTGAGGCGCGCCGGCCTCAGCAGGTATGGTCCCAGGATGCGTTCTGGGCCAGCTTGTTCACTCCGCCGCATCGTCCATGCCAGCAGGAGGTGAGGAAAACATCGCCTCTCAGGTGGTTATGCGGCCGCGGGTCGAATCGTATTCTTCGGCGCGCGATCCCCTTGCCTGCCGTCGCGTCGCGTTGTGTAACCGTAGGGGTACGCAGCTCAGAGGTGGCGTGAGGACACGTTGGCCACATATTATCTCAGCCACCTACTCCCTTGTTGCACCCTGCCGCACGCGCACGCACTGGCATACAGCGCTGTTTACTCTGAATCTCATTACCTTGGCGTCTTCACTCCGCCGCATCGTCCATGCCGGCAGGAGGTGAGGTAACCATTGCCTCTCAGCTTGCCGTCGCGTCGCGTCGTGTAACCGTTGGGGTACGCAGCACAATGGTGGCGTGGGTTGACGTTGTCCACTTATTATATCAGCCACCTACTCCCTTGTTGCATCCCGCCGCACGCGCACGCACTGGCATTCAGCGCTGTATACTCTGAGCCTCATTACCTTGGCGGCCTCGCTCCGCCGCATCGTCCATGCAGTCAGGAGGTGTGGAATCCATCACCCCTCATTCACACTCACCTCCAGCGTGTGCTGATACGTTCCGATTGCTCTGGCGCACAAGCCGAGTAAGGACGAGCCACGGTCTTCACAACGGAGGTTGCCGATGAAAGGTATGCTACCTCTCATACCGTGTGCCTACCACGGTCCTTGTACCTGGGGGCACGGTAACAAGGGTGGGTGAGCCCCAGAGCCCCATCCGTCCTCACAGGGTTATGCCTACCCTCAAGGGCATCAGCAATACACTACAGTCCTCCTCCCCCTCCTCCTCCTCCTCCCTCCTCCTCCTCCTCCTCCTCCTCCTCCTCCTCCTCCTCCTCCTCCTCCTCCTCCCCCTCCTCCTCCTCCTTGTTGCCCGCCCCCCATCCGCTACCGAGCGCCCAATATCCTGGACACGAGCCGCGCCATCTCTGGCCACATCTCCCTCACGGCGAAGTTCGGGTCGACGAAAGTGGGGATGGTCGCCAAAGGGGGGGTTAGCGACTCAGCTCGCGTGGCTGACTTCACTGGCGCCTCCCGAGGCGCCAATGCGTCGAAGATCTTTCCCAATCCCCCCCCCGTTGTCCGACCCGAACATGCTTTGAGCGACAGTGGCCAGCGATAGGGGCCGAGTGTGGGCCGAAGACGCAGGGACGAAAGCGTGCCCCTGTAAAGCCGCTCCTTGTCATATTCCTGCTTGGCGTGGCCGAGCGCCCAAGGTCAGGGGAGGCCAAATCCGGACGGAGCCAGCCCAGACGGAGACCACCGAGCACTCTGTATGGCCTCACTCCGCATGGACTTAGCGTCCTCCGACAATAGAGGCCCCCTAGATGGGGTCGGAGTAGATGGGGTCGGAGGATCTCGCCGTATCGTCGATACATCGGCGATGTATCGGCGATGCACCAGCGATTCATCGTCGACGTGGGCGATGCATGGGCGACGTCGACGTGAAGCAAATCGGGCTCGACATCGAGCCGCGTGGGCGATGCAACGGCGTTGCGGCCCGATCCTCCGACCCCATCCACTCGGACCCCACCTAGAAAGCCTAGAGACACTTCCCCGTACATGCGACGTCCTGTTCTTTGCAATTCGGCGTTCCCGGAAATCCTGACCCTTTCCACGGGGCCGGTTTTCGATCCTGAGCCGTTTTTCGTGGCGCTCCCGGGGCCCGGCGGGGGCCCCCCCGGGGCCGAAAGTAGTGAAGCGCTCGCGCCGACCTTTTTGTTTTTTTGTACGACGCGACCGCGTCTGCGTCCTGGACACGAACCGCGCCCGCTGCCGTCCTGCGCCGCGCGCTGCCTCTCTGGTGGCCGCCGCCCTGCCAACGTGTCGTCACCGACACGCCGAGAAGAAAAAAACGCCACAATCATAAACTTCTGGCGCTCGCCGACCTTTTTTTTTGTACGACGCGACCGCGTCTGGGTCCTGGACACGAACCGCGTCATCTCCGGCCACAGCTCCCTCACGGCGACGTTCAGCAGGGACGTCTCGCCGAGCTCGGCGCCCCAGGGCGCCTCCTCCGCGAGCGGCCGGCCGCCCTCGCGCCGCGGGGCCTCCCCCGCGCCCGGCAGGCCCTCCGCGGCGAAGCGCTGGGGCCCCGAGCGGAGCCCGAGGAACGCGGCGCCTGGCACGGGGGCTCTCTTCGGGGGCGCCCAAGAGGGGGCGACGAAATCTATACATATCCACTGCTCCCTGGCCAGGCCCATTCTGAACCCAGCAGCGGTGTACACGTCACGCCCTCCTGGCTCGGCCAGGAGGGCGTATACACAGCTCCCAGGTTCAGGCTGGGCCTGGCCGGGGAGCAGTGGATATGTATAGATTTCGCCGCCCGACCAAGAGGGGGGGGGCGCACATCATGGCCGGCGGCATGTGCGCGGCCCAAGGGGGGCCAGGGACGTAGTGGAAATAAAACGAGGCGCCATGGAATCTCAGGAAATATCACGGCCCACGCCATCGTATCACCCCCCCCCCCCCAGTCATCACCCCCCTCTTGGTTGCCCCCGAGCAAGGGCCCGACAGCTAAGGGGTTCGACCCCTGGGGGCACTCTGGCGCGCAAGGGGCGTGGCAGGCACGTCGGGCCTTGGAAGTGGGTATGTTTTGGCGTGCACAGGTCCCAGATCTGCCTTGGGCGCCTTCCTGCTCCAAGGATCGAGGGGTTTCCCTCTTTCCCCTCCTCTTCAAGGGGCGGGCGGAAGCCCCCTCTACTTCCGACGCCCTCCTGCTTCACATGCGACCGGAGATATCGCCGAGGTGCTGAGTATCGTTTAACCGATCCCCATCCCCACCAGCGTGGGCTGGGCCCCACTGGCCGATTTACCCCCCTAGATGGGGATATAGGCCGTGTCCTTCGGGTTTCGAGGGGTGTATCCCCAACTGGGGGTGCAATTTGGTGGGGGTCTCGAAGGGGATGAGCATGGGGATGGGGATCGGTTAAACGATACTGAGGTGCGCCACGTGCGCCCCTGCCCGCGGCATCCCGACGCAGGGCGGGGTCGGGCTCAGTAGCTCCGGGGGCCGGAGAACGCCAAGACTGGGCAGTGCAGCGCGGGCCACCTCAGGGGCACTCCTGGAGGAAGGGCGAGCCTAGTGTATGGCCCTGGAGCCTCCAACGGGGGCCCCCGAGACGCGAGCGTCACGACAGACATGCGTATTTGCATACACGATGCCGTACACATGCACACGCTAGTGGCACGTGCTTTCCCGAACTCATGCGAACCGAGCGCGGGGAGGTAAGCAACAATGTTTGGGAGCCTCCCAGCGGCTCGATGCGTTCAAGAGGCCCGTTCAAAGCCTTCCAAGGGATCTCAGGAGGCCTCCCCAGGCACGTGACTGAATCGGCACGACCAGCATGTAATGAACATGGTTGGCTGCTGGGAGCTCCTACCCTCCCTCAACCTTGCCAGTTTCACTCCTCTGGTGCTCCTCATCAACCTCGCCTCTCCTCTCAGCGTCACTTCTCCACCATTATCTTGTTCTTACTTCTCGTCCTGCTCCATTTTGCTCTGCGTGGGGCACCCGAGCAACCCAGGACACAGTCGCGAATCTCCCCCCTCCGCCCCCCCCCCTCCCCCCCACTCTTTGTCGGCGAAATGGCATGCTGCTCCAGGATCTGCAGCGTAAAAATAAAAGCTGGCGCTTCACGAGAAGGACGCGGAGGAGGAGGAGGAGGAGGAGGAGGAGGAGGAGGACAAGCTAGGTGCGCTGGCGTCATATCTGACGTCCTACCCCTCCCTCCCATCACTTACCATGGCGCTGATTTTCTCTATCCGCGGACGCGTGTCGTAGCGGACCTGTGGCTCCGCGCGCGCGTGCGTAGTGGGTGGTGGTGCGCGTGCGTGCGTGCGTGCGTGTGTGCGTGGTTGTGGTGGTGGTGGTGGTGTGGTGGTGTGGTGGTGTGGTGGTGCTGGTGTGGTGGTGTGGTGGTGTGGTGGTGTGGTGGGTGGTGGTGGTGGTGCGGCGCGGTGGTGGCGGGCGGATGGGCGCGCGAGAAAGAGGCCCGCGCTGGGGCGAGAACGCCATCCTGAACGACGGAGGCCAAACACCGATCCGAAAATGAGGCCCACGCTGCAGCGGGAGCACGATTCGGAACGATTCGGGAGCAGAAATGAAGCCGGCGCCTCAGCGAGAGCAGCATCTCAAAAAAAAACGTAGGCGAAAACCCAACTCCCGGGAATCCTGTGTAAAAAAACAGTACGCGGGGGCGGGTCGGCTACTTTCAGGCCGCCATCGGGGGAAGAGGGAGAGTAGTATTTTAATTGTGGAAGAGGAGGAGGGGGAGAAGGAGGAGGAGGAGGAGGAGGAGGAGGAGGAGGAGGAGGAGGAGGAGGGGGAGGGGGAGGGGGAGGAGGCGAAACATGCCAGGCATGTTTGCGCTTCCGCTGCAACTCTCCTCCCGCCCCCCCCCCCCGCGGGGCGCCGCCCAGCGCAGCGGCCAGGAGGAGGCGGGGCAGCACGAGGACGAGTACGAAGACGGTCGAGCTGATTGGGCCATGGTGGTCCAGCCCCTCAAAGGGACGCAGCCCGGGCAGAGCAATCAAGCATACCGTGGCGAGGTAATCACAAAGCATCCCAAGTCACACACACACACACGCAGACGCAAGTTCTGCGAGTTCTTGCTTACTGTAAGATCGTGTCGTGACGATCCTGGGCGTTGGTTTCCGACACCGGGTGGATCGTCAACCCGGAGCGATCGGCGGCTTTTCGATCATCAGATCTTTCCACATCGGCCGATTTGGGCCACTGGCGGCGTTCAACCTTGGAAGCCCGCGGCGGGGTCGCTGCTGCGTCGACATGACGCGAACCGTCCGTAGCTTCGCGCTGTCACAGATCAACCAACATCAAGTCAGGAACTGGGGTCGAATCGGAACAAGCATCGGATTGGGCCGCATTTGCACGGAATCGAAATCGAATCGGATCGGCCGCGCCAAGATGCACAACAACGCCATGCAAACATTGGGCCGCACCGAATCGTCGGAATATCGGAATCGAACCAGATCAAACCGGGCGATACCAATATCGAATCGGACCGGATCGAAACCCCAATGGAGAAGGTACCTTCGCAATCCAGGCCGCCACGCGCGAGGCACCCGCGCGAGACGCCGGCGCCTCTCGCGCCCCGTGCGTGCGACCAGGCTTTGGCACTTCCAGCCTGCTTGATTACTTTTCTGACCACTCCCTCCTCCTCCTCCCTCCCTCCTCCGCCCTCCTCCCTCCACATCCCCCCTCCTCCTCTTCCCTCCGCCTCCGCCTCCTCCTCCTCCTCCTGCTCCCTCCTCCTCCTCCTCCTCCTCCTAGTCCTCTCCCTTTACGATGTCTTCATGCACACGTGTATAGCTCATATTTGTATATATACATACTCACAAACATACATATATATACATACATACATACATACATACATACATGCATGCATGCATGCATGCATGCATGCATGCATACATACATCCATACGCACATACATACATACACATATACACATCCATACATACACACAAACATACCTGCAGACACACATACACACGTACATACATACATACGCACACACGCACATGCATACACACCGACACATCCACACATACATACACACATACATACATACAAACATACATACAAACATACATACATACATCCATACATCTATTCTCACATGAAATCACACACATACACATACATACATACATATATACATGTATACACATGCATGCGCACATACACACAACAATACACACATACACACATGTGTGTATGCATGCGTCCATGCACACATGCATACATGTATGCATGCATCTATACATATACATATACATATTCATATACATATATATACATTATACATATGTATTTACATACATACATACATACATACATACATACATACATACATACACGCATACACACATACGGGCATATACATATACATGCCTATATGTGCATACATATATATGAGTGTGTACATATATATATATACATATCCAATCTGTCGTGCCCCCAAGCGTGTCGGTAGGGCGGGCCGGGCGGTTCGCCTGAGACTTCCTCAACACTTGTGCTCTGGAAGCTTGGAGCTCGAAACAACTGCGCAGATGGAGGAGACCTCGTTTCCAAAGCGGAGCTTTCGCTTCGGCGCCGCGCGCGCTCGTCTACAGGGGTAGGGCATGTGGCTCTCAAAACGGGGCCCTCGCCCCAGCGCCACGCGCATTCGTCCTGCACGTCCACAGCGGGTACACGGGTGGGTAGTAGTAGTACTCGTAGTAGTAGTGGTAGTGGTAGTGGTAGTGGTCGTACGAGTAGTAGTAGTAGTAGTAGTAGTAGTAGTAGTAGTAGTAGTAGTAGTAGTAGTAGTAGTAGTAGTAGTAGGAGTAGGAGTAGGAGTAGGAGTAGTACTTATAGTAGCAGCAGTAGTAGTAGTAGTAGTAGTAGTAGTAGTAGTAGTAGTAGTAGTAGTAGTAGTAGTAATAGTAATAGTGGTAGTGGTAGTAGTAGTAGTAGTAGTAGTAGTAGTAGTAGTAGTAGTAGTAGTAGTAGTAGTAGTAGTAGTAGTAGTAGTAGCAATGTAGTAGGCTCTGGCCCTGGCGCCGCGCACATTCGCCTTTAACCTTCGCGTCAGCTACGGGGACGGTGGGCAGTTCCTTCTCAACATGGTGCTCCCGCCCCATCGCCGCACACGTTCGTCTCGAACGCTTGCAGCAGTTACACGGATGGAAGGCGGCTCCTTCTCGACATGGGGCTCTCGCCTCAGAGTTCCTCGCGTTGGAGACCAGAAGCCTCAGCACATGCAGCAGCTGCACTGCTGGATGGCGGCTCTTTTTCAACATGGGGCTCCCGCGCATGGGATTTCCTCGGAGATCATGGCCAGACGCGTAAACCTGTGCAGCGGTTACTGGGGTGGGGGGGGGGCGGTCCTTTTTCAAAACGGGGATCTCGCTGGACACACTGTTGAACTGTATGGTCAAGCCTTTTCACATTATTGCAGTGGAGGCCCGTCCACAAGAACCCTTCCACAAGAAACCCAACCCTGAGACCCCAAGACTTCCATGGATTTTTGGTGTGGGAACGTCACGCGTTCCATAACAAAACCATCGAAACCATCGAAACCCAGGGCACCCTGGAGGCAAGCAGGGTGTTTCTTGGCATGGCTCTGCAGTG